CGAAGACCTGGACCTGCATACACAAATTACTGTCACAGGCTGTAGTACCTATCATACGAAATTTCAAACAATTTCGGTGAATATTCTTGGGCCACGGACGGAGGGACGGACAGACCGGCATGCATAAATCGACTAAGAAAGTGATTTTATGAAGATTACTATGGGTCTATCTCGCTTCTTTTTTCATGTTACAAATACCCTACACTATGTGGTGTAGGGTATTAAAAAATTATATGTCCAGGTTACACATGAACAGCGACCCTAGTACCATATTTCAAATATCAAACACTATCTGTTAACCCAATACCAAATTGTACCAATCTGGTACTATTTAGTACTTTTAATGCACTTTGTTGTACACATTTCCAAAACCACCTCTTTATCACCAACTTATCTCCAACAGGGACTCCTATACAAAATTTCAAAATTTCTTATTTTACTTATTTTAGATGCAAAATTTCAAGTTTTTAAAATTTTCAAAATACCAAATATAGGGAGCTACAGGTAGAAATCAAGAATTTTTTCTGTTTTTAATCCATTTTAACCCCAATATATTTTGTAAACATCTCCAATAACAATAGGGCTATATTTTAACCCAACCACCATTTCTCCGCCTCAACAATTTCGTGAGGATCGGGCTATAAGTGCGACCTGTATCTTGATTACAAATCAACATTGAAAGACGGACGGCCATACATAGCTAGATCGACTCAACTCGGTGAGATGGGAAGATCCCTATACAGGTTCAGATAAAAAAACTGCAACAAAGTCAAAAGACATAATTTTTACATTCTTTTTTAAATTTTATTGAATGCAAGAAAGAAATGTCGGAAATAGCATTAAATTTTAGAATAAGTTTAGATTTGTTCGAATTGGTTACCTTTGGCAACCGTGGCGAATTATGACCTTCAAACGGCCAATGAATGTGGCTCTGCGGTGTTTTGGTCTTTTGGCTCTAGGTGATCGACACTTTGGTATTTTTTAGTGCCAACCTTGCTTTCCAAAATACTCCAGACACAATAGTCCAAGGGATTGGCATCCGGAGATTTTGGTGGCCTTTATGGGCTGAAAATGAAGCGAGCAACCTCATTCTTGGTGGGACGTGTTGAGTGCGATGGTGCTGAGTCCGTTGGTATGCCCAAGGTCTGCGGCCAAAATGTTTGCGTGCCCAAAGCTTTAATATACCCTCCAGATTATTTTCGCTATAATTTTCGGCATTTATTTTAATGCCACGGTCGATAAATACAAGCGGAGAGCGACCATTGGCTGTAATGGCGGCCCACCATGACCGGCGCTTGAGTTCTGGCGGCCAAACGAGAGTGCACATTTTCAGCTGACCTCTTTGGCAGCTAGACACAACCAGTTTGTTTGTTTACAAACAGCAGAACAACGAATGTTTTCTCATCAGAGCAACCAAATTCGGCAGCTCACCACCTTCTGCCAAGCGAAGCAACTCTTTGGTTCTATTGAGTCTATTTTCTTTCTGTTGCGGTGTAAGTGCTTGGACTTTTTTGGAATTTCAATGGCTTTACCCCGAACTCATTTTTCAATATTTGCCGAATGGAATATTGCGATATGTTCAGCTCACGAGCCATTTTCGGCAACTGAGATGCGGGTTTCGATCAAGTCGTTTCATTACTTTTCGAACCATTTCTGCTGATGTTGCTGTTTTCTTTTGTCCACTTCCTTGAGTCGGGCCACGCTACCAGTATCACGGTAACGAGCGATGGTACGATAGCCACTTGCGGTTTTACAGCCAAATATAAAGAAATCCCTCTACCACGCATGAATTCCATCAGGAATAACTTTTTTTTTCTGGAAAAATTTCGCACCAAAATACTTTTGTACGCTTGTAAACATAATAATGAGCTGTCACTGGAATAATTTTAACAGCTGACGGACGAGTGGCTTAGCAATGACAGCAGTCTATAGTTGATTGCAGTTTTTTCATCTCACCCTGTGTGGTGAGCAATAACCAATAAATCGGATGAAGATGTGTATCGAAGCTATATAAAAATCTGAACCGATCTCCATAAAATTTGGCAGAGGTAATTTTAAGGAGTATGTGATGCACGGTATCAAATATCATTGTTGTGCAAGGCATATTACGCATGTGAGCGACTTTAACAGCAATTCGGATGAAACATATATATGGGAGCTATAGCTATATCTGAACCGATTTTCTCCAAATTTGATGTACTTGCTTCTAGAATTCGATCGGATGTGCCAAAATGCTCATCTCGGAACTCTATATAAATTTAACAATAATCTTACAATGTGGCAAGTTTTCAGATCTACTCCAAATGTCCTGAAACGGATTTGGTCCATAGGGACCCGTTGTCTAAAACTGTTCTCTCGTTTTGGCCGTTTCAAGTGATGTATCTATATGGCTTAGGATATAACAATGCTACGGGTCAAACTAGCCACGTTTCTGTTTTTTCGAGCAAAGTTTCAGGACCCCGTTATATTTCTAAGAAGTTATCGCAATTGGTCGCCGAGATCTTGTTGTTTAATACCTTGCGACTTATTCCTTGTAATTACTTTACATATTTTGAAACAATTATTTTTTTAAAAAAATATAGAAACCAATGAAAATTTTGTTTTTGAAAAGTAAATTCATGCTGAAAATATTTTATTTTTTGAGATAAGAGAAATATTTTAAACTGTTCTATTAATTTGAAAATAATAACTTGAAAGGTCACTGGAAAGTCTAAATGGAAGCTGCCTGAACATTTAAAAGGACACCTTCTGAATTATTACAAAGGAAATATAATTTGAAATAACAACTACGTTGCTTAACGAGGACTTATCCTGGAAATTTTTAAAAGGATATTGCCTGAAATCCCTACAATAAATCCGGCGAAATTGATTCAAGCATTCTGTCCCGTTGCTAATATTTATTTCAATCTACCAATATTACATTTAATTCAATAACCGAACTATACAGCATTCCAACAATTGCGGCCCGGTATATTAAATAAGTTTTATCTTTAAAAAATTCATTTTCTCACTATTCCTTTTCCACACAGGTTAGCCGTTTTAAAACCATTCTGGTCAAGATTTTGGGAATCCAATCTAGAGGAGCTTGTTGGTGAGAATATTGAAAACTGTAAGTATTAAATGAAATATACGTTGCAATCTTTAGAAATTAGTGCAAAACTAAAATGTGTGACGCAATCATAGCATCTTGTCTTTTACATGTATTACAAACATTTTTTTACAAAGTATATATGTAGGAACGGGCTCAGTAGAACGCTGTAATTACATTGCGCCTTCCACTAATTTAGGTAATAAGTAATGAACACAGCAAAAGTAGAAATAATAGAACGCAGGCAAAAACGAAGTAAGAAGCTTTGATAAGCAAAATATTAAACACAGCCAAAATGAAAGACGGAGATTTTCAAAAAGGCAAGTAAGCGCTTAAATTTACAGGGAACATTCATTCATAAATTCGTTCGTGCACAGAGTAGAAGTTGTGAAGTGTTGAGTGTTACAACAGCTTGAAGATTTTTAAGTTAGAAATTAAGAAGTATTAAATTCATGTAATCTAATAAAACCGTGAACTGTAAATATTTCATTTTATTGATGGTCCACGATATCGTATATCCCCCATATAACGGTACCCCCCGATATTCGGTATTTTTATGATTTTACCCACATTTTTCATCGAAATTGTCTGAAAATCCACACAAGGAGTTCCTTGTGGGTACTTTATACCTCGGCAGAGAATTATCTATATAGGTCCACCATATCGTATAGCGCCCATATAACAGTACCCCCGATATTTAGTATTTCGATGATTTTATCCACATTTTTCAATGGAATTGTCTGAAATTCTACACAAGGAGTTCTTTGTGAGTAGTTTATCCATTGAAAGAGAATCATCAATATAGGTCTACTATATCGTATAGACTCCGTATAAAGGTACCCCCGATATTCGGTATTTTGATGATTTTAGCAACATTTTCCAATGGAATTGTATGAAAATCCGCACAAGGAGTTCCTTGTGGGTACTTTATACCTCGGCAGAGAATTATTTATATAGGTACACGATATCGTATAGCCCTCATATAACGGCACCTTCCTATATTAGATATTTTAAAGATTTAAAAAAAATTTTTTTTTGGATTTTATTTGTTTGAAAATTTTCTAATTCTTTTCAAATGGTGGAGGGTATTCAAAGTTCGGCCCGGCCGAACTTACTGCATTTTTAATTGTTTTTTTTTCTCACTTTTGTTCTCACAATTGTACTCACTCTAGAGGTCGCAATTATTGTCCAATCCTCATAGCTATCATCAGAGTGGAGTCCTAATACTATTGGAGATGAAGCTGTATTTTTCTCAGATTTTGCAATTGCTTGGCAGGGAGCAGTCGCTTAGGATAATCGTTCATTCCAGTCAAAAGACTTTCAGATCTACAAAAACTTTATCGTAATTTATAATGGTGCATAAGTATCACATGATCGGCCATGTCCGATTGTAGCCTTTAAGGCATACGTACATACATACAATATTGCCGTAGTCATAACCAACCCCGTAACCGTACTCACATTCAATACATTCGAATAACGGTGCCATAACATAATTCTGCAGGGCAGGGCAGGGCGAAAAATATATGCCACAAGTAATATAATATTACTTTATTACTTGTGGTACGTCTACCTGAACCTTTACTTACTTGCTTATGTTTTCAACAGCAAAATTTTGAATATTGTTTGTCAAAATTTTGTAAAGATTAAAGAGAAATAGAAAGAAATAAATGTACATTTTTTTTCTTTAAGGCTTGAATTGAATTGATTGATTGATTTTGCAACAAATTTCTCAGACACAAATTGGTTCATCGGCTGTACAGCAAGATTTCAATTTCATAGAAAGCAAAGTAAGTATCGCATTTTCATGAAACTTCGAACATTCAATATTCATTCATTCAATTCATACAATAGCCTTCAAAATGGGAATATTAACGGCCTACGTATCACAGGTCTACAAATATCTAAAAATATCTACAAATCCACAAAGTCTGCCCAACCGACATTGCAAATTTTATCGTGTCCCAGAAGAATCTTGCAATTCCCCGCTGTTCGAAGGATCCGACCGGGGAGTTAATCTTTGGGGACTTAGGCTCACCACTATGCCTAAAATTGAAGTGCCTACACTTGGACACAAATGTCCATTCCATCCATTTTTCTAGTAAGTTCGTAAATGGGTCATATCGGCCCACATTTTCGTATAGCCCCACATAATACATTCAATATTCATTCATTCAATTCATCCAATAGCCTTTAAAATGGGAATATTACGGGCTACGTATCACAGGTCTACAAATATCTAAAAATATCTACAAATCCACAAAGTCTGCCCAACCGACATTGCAAATTTTATCGTGTCCCAGAAGAATCTTGCAATTCCCCGCTGTTCGAAGGATCCGACCGAGGAGTTAATCTTTGGGGATTTAGGCTCACCACTATGCCTGAAATTGAAGTGCCTACACTTGGACACAAATGTCCATTCCATGCATTTTTCTAGTAAGTTCGTAAATGGGTCATATCGGCCCACATTTTCGTATAGCCCCACATAATACATTCAATATTCATTCATTCAATTCATCCAATAGCCTTCAAAATGGGAATATTAACGGCCTACGTATCACAGGTCTACAAATATCTAAAAATATCTACAAATCCACAAAGTCTGCCCAACCGACATTGCAAATTTTATCGTGTCCCAGAAGAATCTTGCAATTCCCCGCTGTTCGAAGGATCCGACCGGAGAGTTAATCTTTGGGGACTTAGGCTCACCACTATGCCTAAAACTGAAGTGCCTACACTTGGACACAAATGTCCATTCCATCCATTTTTCTAGTAAGTTCGTAAATGGGTCATATCGGCCCACATTTTCGTATAGCCCCACATAATACATTCAATATTCATTCATTCAATTCATCCAATAGCCTTCAAAATGGGAATATTAACGGCCTACGTATCACTACGTATCAAAAATATCTACAAATCCACAAAGTCTTCCCAACCGACATTGCAAATTTTATCGTGTCCCAGAAGAATCTTGCAATTCCCCGCTGTTCGAAGGATCCGACCGGAGAGTTAATCTTTGGGGACTTAGGCTCACCACTATGCCTAAAATTGAAGTGCCTACACTTGGACACAAATGTCCATTCCATCCATTTTACTAGTAAGTTCGTAAATGGGTCATATCGGCCCACATTTTCGTATAGCCCCACATAATACATTCAATATTCATTCATTCAATTCATCCAATAGCCTTCAAAATGGGAATATTAACGGCCTACGTATTACAGGTCTACAAATATCTAAAAATATCTACAAATCCACAAAGTCTGCCCAACCGACATTGCAAATTTTATCGTGTCCCAGAAGAATCTTGCAATTCCCCGCTGTTCGAAGGATCCGACCGGGGAGTTAATCTTTGGGGACTTAGGCTCACCAATATGCCTGAAATTGAAGTGCCTACACTTGGACACAAATGTCCATTCCATCCATTTTTCTAGTAAGTTCGTAAATGGGTCATATCGGCCCACATTTTCGTACAGCCCCACATAATACATTCAATATTCATTCATTCAATTCATCCAATAGCCTTCAAAATGGGAATATTAACGGCCTACGTATCACAGGTCTACAAATATCTAAAAATATCTACAAATCCACAAAGTCTGCCCAACCGACATTGCAAATTTTATCGTGTCCCAGAAGAATCTTGCAATTCCCCGCTGTTCGAAGGATCCGACCGGAGAGTTAATCACCACTATGCCTAAAATTGAAGTGCCTACACTTGGACACAAATGTCCATTCCATCCATTTTTCTAGTAAGTTCGTAAATGGGTCATATCGGCCCACATTTTCGTATAGCCCCACATAATACATTCAATATTCATTCATTCAATTCATCCAATAGCCTTCAAAATGGGAATATTAACGGCCTACGTATCACTACGTATCAAAAATATCTACAAATCCACAAAGTCTTCCCAACCGACATTGCAAATTTTATCGTGTCCCAGAAGAATCTTGCAATTCCCCGCTGTTCGAAGGATCCGACCGGAGAGTTAATCACCACTATGCCTAAAATTGAAGTGCCTACACTTGGACACAAATGTCCATTCCATCCATTTTTCAAGTAAGTTCGTAAATGGGTCATATCGGCCCACATTTTCGTATAGCCCCACATAACGGTACCTCCCTTTATTCGGTACTTTTATGATTTAAGCGACATTATTAACAGGAATTGTTTCAAATTCCGTATTTGAAGCTCTTAATAGTCTTTGACAAAGTTGCGTATACAGGTCCGACAGACCGGCATTGTTTCAAATTTCACATTTGAATTTCAGAATCGGTACTACAGCCATATAACAGTTTTTATTTTAACGGCATTTTTCGGCGGATCTTTTTTTTTTTTTTTAATTTTCCAAGTGGTGGAGGTATTAAGCTCGTTCCGGCCGAACTTAGATGCTTTTTTATTTGTTTTTGATGTGAAAACAATTTTTATAATCAATGGTCCAAATTTCAAGACGAATTATGAATTCCTTTTTTACAAAGTTTCTCAAAAGTTGAAGTAAAATATCTTTTCTCATAGAACAAAGGTATATTATATGTGAAGAAGACTCGTTTTGAAAACAGGTGTTTAGAGTGTTCATTATTTTAAGAACATAAACTAAAAAATTTTAATATATCTTGTTTACTATTGATAACACATTTTGAATGAATATATATATTTTTTCAATTGCTTTCCACATTTTGTCTCAAATTTTTTTTTTTTATAAAATAGTGTTGCAGTACCCGTCTGGAAACAGATTCGAAAGAATCTGATTGCCTCCTTGCACTTTTGAAGTAATTTAAAATGTCTCTTAACAGCTGTTCCACGTTATTTCACAATAACAATAGAGTCTTCTAGAAATAAACAAACACAACAATGTTGACAACTTTGAGCATGCGAAAACCACTTAAAACACCTAATATAAAAGCGTTCGCTCTGAAATTTGCTATCGCTAATTGGAAATGGCAGCGTACGACGCTTTTCATTATTTCATTTCATTTCATTGTTTTAAATACAGCGTTTAGATTAAAATATATGTATTTCATAGAAAAGTGGCACAAAAAGTAAAAAAAAGCGGCTCATTTAGGATCAAAATAAAAAAGTGGCACAAAGGTATCATAGCCCAAAAAAAGTGGCAAAATTGATGCTTTAGTGTCACAACGGTCACGCTGACAACAATAATACTTAAATCTAAAGTTTAAAATACAAATGAATGAAAGATATTACCGTCAATTCTTTTTTGAGCATTATTTATTCAGTTTATTTATATTTTTTTTTTTTTTCATTTTTTCAAAAAAACATGTGATGGTCGATGAACCATCCAGGCAATAGAAGATTGCCTTCCACAAATTGTAGATCATGGGTCTCGATTTAGGCCGATCATCTCGGGCAACCTCACAGTGGACAAGGACCGGATACCACCCAACCAAAGATAGTTAGTTGAGCCCAGGGGAACCCTGGACTCGAATGGGTTTGAGATTTAATAAACTTCGGGTACACATCGGGACCAAGAATTAGTGCGATGTGAGCGGACTTGTAGAATTCGGGATCTGCTAGTTGCATCCCAGCATAGTGGTCCTTTATTAGGTGTGGCGCAGATTGCGCAGGAGTGACCACATGTCTCAAGGGCATGCTAAGTGCGGATACACGAAGCAGCTGCGTCTGGTCGTGAAAAGACTGTAAAGTCAGTTGGCAGAACAAATCCTGGCCAACGTCTAAGGAGCTGAGCTGGAGTTTACTAGGCAGCGTGTAGCAAATTCGACTATGTCCAGCACAAGGATCCAATAGCGCTCGAACTGGTACTTTTCGGTCCGGAAGAACAATTTGTACCACCATTGTAGGCCCCAATGGGCTGTATGGACTGAACTATCGGACGGACGGCCCCCGAAGGGCCGGACGATATCTGATGAGAGCGAACGGACGGACGTTTAGCAGAGGTCTTCATTTTAGCGGACGAATTTGAATTGAACGAGGGCGACAAATTAAATGCACGAGACGTATAGTCTCTACTACCCGAAGGGCGGACTTTTCCATGTTGTATGTGGTTGGAGTGAAGAAGTGTGAGGTGGTTACTGCTACACTTCTTGCATCGTCGAATACTGAAGCAATTTCTAAGAATGTGGGACCGAGTCAAGCAATTCGAACAGAAGATATTCTGGACCACAAATCGAATCTTTTTCTCTCAAGGAAGCTTGTGAAAATCAGGACAATCCTTCAAGAAATGCCTCTGTATGCACATTAGGCATTTCGGACCCTGAGGACGACTAGATCCTGCCACTGGTTGATTACCACAAGGAATAGTGGCCGTACTTTTTGTTGTGTTTTCCTCATTGGCGTGTGCAAGCTCCCGATGGGGAGACGCCGAAGGAATAGTCCAAGTACCGGAAGGGTATCAACCGCCATTTGGGACGAAAGTCCCGGATTGGACACAACAGTTGCCGTGCAATTCTCCTGATGAGGAGAGACAACCGATGCGGTGCTGGGGAGAGCCACAGTTGCTGTGCTATTCTCCCGATGAGGAGAAGCAACCATCTTCTTATCAGCCGATGAGCTGGTTTGGCAGGCTTGAAGACCCGGAGCAGACTTCTGATTAGGAGCTTCTATAATATCTTTAAACGCCGAGTCTTGTGATCCTAAAGGAACCACATTGTTGTCTTCAAACTCTCTCTCTTCATCCGACATTGGGATGTTGTCATCCACAATTGGAAGGGAAGAGGCCATCTTCCTCAAGTTTTCCATATCTGCGAAAAAATGGAGATGGCGCAGTGAAGAGAGGACAACTATCTATTCTTGGTCAGTCAGAATGACAAGCTTAACTACGGTCGTTTTACGATACCGTTTTCCGTTTTCACGTCCGCGACTCTAACATGACCGTAGATTCCTGGATAGACTTTTACGACGCGAGTGGGAGGTAGTTGCTCATGTCGAAGAACTACTAAATCATCCGTTTGACTATCGCGTTGCGGACATTTTCACTTGTAGCGATGGTGGAGGCTCTTTAAATATTCATCTTTCCACCGAAGGCAGAATTGTTGAGAGAGCGCTTACAATTTTCGATACCGATATCCAAAGGAGATTCGTTTATGATGGGCTCGGGGGGAGCAAGGATTGGAGACCCGACAAGAAAATGTCCAGGTGTTAGCGCCACCGTATCATCAAGACTATCATTCATAGGACAGAGAGGACGAGAATTTAAACAAGCTTCTATTCTTGTTAGTGCTGTCGAAATCTCTTCAAATGTAAATTTAAGATTTTTAGTCATTTTTCGAAAATGAGTTTTGAAGCTTTTGACAGCAGATTCCCAGATTCCACCCATATGTGGAGCTCCGGCTGGATTAAACTTTAATGCAAGTTCTTGGTATTGAAACTTGGATCGGAGCTTATTACGAATTACATTTAATGTCAGTTTAAATTCTCGTTCTAACTCTCGAGATGCTAAAATGCATATTTTAAATGTCTTATTGTTTTTCTCATCAACGAAGTAGCACGAGGAATCCAATATTCCAGACGAATAATGAGAAGCATTAATTGGTTCCCTCCGTGCATAGACTCTATGTTAATGTGTTCCAACAAAAGTTCTGCGAATCTACTATGGTATGGTAACAAAATTGGATGACGTTCAGAAATGGAAAGAGTTGGACACTGTGCAAGGCGTCCATTTCATCCAGAAATGGATTTAAGGATAAGATTGAACTCTTTGAATTGATTGGCTTTTCATGTAGCAACGCATAGTATTCCTCTGAATAAAATGATTTTTGAGCTTAAGCAGCCAGACGGAATTTGACTGCTTGGATTTCGGAATTAGTGGGGATGGAACCTTCAAACTGATATTTGCCACGATGAGCGGAATGGGTATTATAGAAAAACCTTAGATACATGCAATGGCGCGGAGCGCCGTATCTATGGAAGAGAATCGATTTAAGATATCTTCATAGTTTTGTATAAAAGTTACATGACTTTTAACTGGGCGAAGTTCGACAACAGTTTCAAGCGAAACGTTTTGAATATTCCAATTTGAACTATCAAGACCTAGCCATTGTGGCCCATGCCACCAAATTTGTGATGAAGCCAACTCCGAAGAAGAAAGCCCCCGACTGCCTAAGTCTGCAGGATTGTCCTCAGACCGAACGTGGAACCACTTATTTTGCCCAACATTCTCCTGAATACGACAGACCCTATTTGCTACGAAAGTAGACCATGTTGATGGCGTTTTTTGAAGCCAGGAAAGAACAATTGTTGAATCTTTCCAGCAATAAATTTTGTTAAAAGAAATATCAATCTCGTTTAGAATGCCTTTTAGAAGTTCGGATGCCAGCACTGCACCGCATAATTCTAATCTAGGTAAAGAAATAGATTTGAGCGGAGCTACTTTTGTTTTGCATGAGAGCAGATTTGTGAAGATGGTGCCATTTGAATCTATAACACGAATGTAAGCTACCCCTGCGTATGCCTTTCCTGAGGCATCAGAAAAGACATGAGGCTCGACTTGGGAATTCGGAGAATATTGGACCCAACGAGGAATAGAAATCGAATTGACGTCAAGATAGGATTCAACAAATTTCTGCCATTCACGTTCCGTCGAAGACGGAAGCGAATCATCCCAACCAATGTTGTCGAGCCAAATACGTTGCATAATTATTTTTGCGACCACTATAACTGGTCCTAGCCATCTAACTGCATCAAATAATTTTGCGATAGTTGACAAAACTTCCCGTTTAGTATATTTGGACCGATGTTCCAGCGCGTTTACACTGAAATAAAAATGGTCCAGCTGTGCATTCCAACGAATACCCAGCGGTTTTGAACTGCTAGCTTCTACGAAAGTTAGAAGCTGAGCGTCGTAAAGATGATCTGAAGGAAGTGGTTGTAAAATACTGCGATCATTGGCTTCCATTTACGTAATTCAAATTTTGCGGAAGATAGAGCACCAATTAGTTGGTCTCTAGATTTGTGCGCCGTCTCCAAATCGTGATAGCCGGTTAAGACGTCATCTACGTACATGCACCTCCGAAGGATATGTGCAGCTAATGGAAATTCATTTTCTGTGTCATCGGCCAATTGTAGTAAAGTCCGAAAGGCAAGAT